ATGATCAGAGAATCATAAGCAGTATAGCCTGGATTGTATTGTGATGGATCTTGAATGAAAGACTGAAGTGGTTTTACCCCTTCCGTTGGGTTGTTGAACTAAAAGGCCTTTAATCCCTCCCAGATGCTGAGATTTTGTGCATTTCTCTAATTCAGTTGGTGTGAGGAGCAGAGGAAGATTTTTGAGCAGTGACCTGGCTTGAAATTTCAGAAGATGAATATACAGGGTGAAATGAATTGAGAAGTGACAAGACTTCGGTTGTCTGTAAAGTGGTTCTGCTTCTTTAAGGCCACCTAAGTGACGTGGAGTGATACATCCAGCTGGTGGTCTGAGGGGCACAAGATTAGACCCAAACCAGGCCCCGTCCACGCTCACCTTCACGCCAGCTTCCCTTCTTCCGTGTCACACTCAGGCTTCATTTCTTTGATCTCTCGTATGGCATCCATATTAATAGCTCTGCTAGGCTTTCAACTTCTGCCTTTCTTTCGCCATTTATGTCTTTGTCTCGTCTCTCTGGATATCACGTGCTCTCTGCCTGCACTTTTGGAAATAGACCTTTTTGGTTTGGTCCTGGGCTTGGACTCTCCCTGTGAACTGCCGAGTGGGCAGCCTGCTGGTCACAGCTGTTTGTTTCTGAGTTTCGATTCCCTCCTTTAGCTCCAGCTCCATGAATCAAGACCCCAAGAAGGAGGCCTGTTATCAGGCTATTGGAACAGGATAGGAGCAGGGCCATCTGGCTCAAACCACAGGAGTGAAAATGGAAATTCATTCATTCATTCATTCATGCCATATTTACTGAGTACTGTCGAGGGTAGTCACCAGCTCTGGGTGGATGCCCAGCTGGTCCTGCTTTCGCTGCTTCAATCCTCTCTCCCTTCAAGTTCTCTACTAAAGTTTAAGATTTTTTGTCATCGCAGCTGAGTCTCTCTGGGAGTATCAGCAAGACCTCTCGGTAGTGTTAGAAGGCGACAACCGGGGACAGCAGCTGGTTTTATTTTTGGTTTTCGTCAGTCAGGTGTTTGTAAGTTGAGAACCGCCTGTATTCACACAACGTGATTTGGGAGTGTGTCACGAACTCCTGCGGGAATAATGGATGTGGTACAGTTGAAAGGGTGACAATGAACAATCCCTAACATCATATACTAGGGAGTAAACTTCTAACAGCCTGGGCATGGATTAATGGCTCAGAGAATATGGATGTGCTCTGGATCGTTTCCAGTCTCATTTCTTGTAAAATTGGAGTCTTGCTTTGGAGATCTGGCCATTGGTGAGCTTGCCTGTGGAATAGTCAAGGCCTCGTGGTAGGTACTGGTTGATGCATTTGCGAGATTTTATTTTGGAGCCGATTAGATTACTATAATTTATTTGTTCTTGTCAAGTTTTTAAATTATCCCACAAGCAATCTTATGTTACAAATAAAGAAAAGACACATAACTCTCCAATCGCCTTTTACAGTGTAGCAACTTGATTCTTAATTTTTCCTTGTCTACTCTTAGGATCTTTGCTCACATTCACACATTTGAAATAGTTGTAATCGTGATATTGAAATAGTCCTTATCTTCACAGTCATATTTGCATAAACATTTTCTATTTTGCTAATTTCTACACTCTAATTTTAATGGTCATAAAATTTTGATCTAATTATATGGTCACAATTTTCTTAAAATTCCCTTATTTCTGAATATTCAGTTTTTCTCCTGTGGGGTTGTTTGTCAAAGAGTATAGACATTTTTGTTATAAATGGTCCCTATTTTCAGATTTCTTTCCGTCTTCCTCTCAACCATGCCACAGTAAACATCTTCACAGTATTGTTGTTTCAGTTTGGATTTCTTTAATAATTAGTGATGTTTCTTTATTAATTATATTTCTTTTTCTGAATTGGCTTGTCATAGCTTTTCTAATTTATTTCCCAGTTATTTTTGAAAAATAAGTTCCTGTGGGTCTTTATATATTTTAAATAATTCTTGTTACTTATAGTTGGTTCTAATATTTCTCAATGTGACAATTTTTGTTTTGTTATTTTATAAGTTCAACAATTTTATCTTAGTCTTACCTGGTTTATCTATTTCTGAGTAGTTTTTGATGACTACTGTCACAGTTATTAAAAGTTAGGTAAAGGTACTATGATTCTCTGCTTCTCCTTATTCATGTTGCTTCTTGGTCTCCTGTCTGGTGGATTGGATTGTTATAGACATGTATATTCTTGAATCATGGAGTGATCAAGCTAGAGGGGAATTATCAGTTTCTATTTTTAATATTTAGAGGATCTAATAGATAATATTTACAGATAAATGTAGATTTACAGATTGAGAATTTAGAATGTAGATGAAAACTACATTCAGGACCTACTGAATACAGTGAATCCAGCTGGTAAATTAAGAAATGTATTTAACTTTAGGTTTTAAAAAGAAAAAATAGTTTTATACTTATAAAACTCTTTAAAAACACTATATTTGGAAATCAATTTTTCCATGTTTTTTGAGCATTTGTCTCATTGCTTTTCAGTGTCTTGATTTTAAAATTTAAATATAATCTCAGAAATGTGGCTTCAAATCATAGGTCCTTTGCAAAGTGACTGAGCAGCCTCCCGGGGGTGATCGAGGTTACTCCTTGTGATTGGTTTTCTTCTTTTGAGGTGTAGATTCTATTATGCAACTGGGATGTGCTTTTGGAATTTATAAAGCATTTAAAATTTCCTTTTTATTGGTTTGATTGATCTTATAGTCATTTTAAAATAACCTAAGTTATCTAATAAATATTTAGTTTATTGGTAGGTAGTTGAGCAGTGTATTTCTCAACTGTGACTTAGGGACAGGAGTTCAGTATATCTTCCAGTATTTCATACAAGGGAGGAAGAATTTGGAAAGCTAATGGAAGATCGTTTCTCTTAAGTCATTTTAGAAGATAAATTGTTATATCAAAAATATTGTAAAATAAATGGGCAAAAAAATCATCAAAACAATTATTAAGAAAATCCAGTGAAGTTGGTAGGAGTCAATTGGGCTGTGTGCTTCTGAGATATCAGCCTGCTCTGATCATTCAATAGATGTGAACCCCACGGTTTGTCTGGGGTTGCTTCCCTGATAAATAATGATGTAGGATGTGAAATTTGAACCGATACAATTAGAAAGGCTAAGAGTGAAGTTTGTGGCCAGTTACGATTGACAGATGAGAACAAACGAATAGTAAACTATTCTTACAGAATATTATAGGTTTGGTGTTACATTTTTAATATCTTCAGTATTAGTGGAGATGTTCTTATATGTGAAGTCTGAGTTTTGATACTCTGTGTAAGTGAAGTGCTATGTTTTACTTCAGAATTTCTTGAATTTACTCTTGACAAGAAATCTCCTGAGCCTGTAAGTTATTATCATTGTTGTTACTAAGTGGCATAAATGAAAGGTTTAACCTAGTAAATAATTGTTTAAATTATACATTCAGTCAACAGCAAGGGCAAATCTCTTGTAAGCATTGTCTTCTCTGGCCTGAAAAAATTATATTTTCACATCGTTGTTTGAATTGTCTTCAGTGGACGATGACAGCGTTTTTTGGGGGTATATCGTGCTTATGGTTCCATAGCCCTGAGTCTTAAATTCTGTGCCTGGCTGATGTTGTATTGTACGGTAGTAATTCTGTAAATTGTTTATAATACAGGGGAAACACTGGAGAAAAGATCTGTCTGTTTACTGCTTCCAGTTTTACAACAAGGGGATACTGTTCAAGTCCAAAGGAGCTTCAGTAGTTGAAGAGTTGAGATATTCTGCCTCCTCTGCCCCATCTCCAACATCCTGTTTCATCACAAATGTTTATCATTTTATTCATCGGTTCTCCACCCGCCTTGTGGGCCGTTGTGGTTGCTGTCAGGCAGCCAAGAGGCTGGGGAATGCCTATCCACAGCAGTGTGGGGCGTCTGGCTGGGGTGCTCACGCGTCCTGTAACTGGCCCATCTGTGAGTGCTTGGTTCACAGTTTTAAAGAATCATCTGGGTTTCCCAAGAAATTCATTTAGTATTAATTGACTACTCATTTTTTTTTTTTTGATGAAGATTAGCCCTGAGCTAACATCTGTCGCCAATCTTCCTCTTTTTGATGAGGAAGACTGGCCCTGAGCTAACATCCATGTCCATCTTCTTCCACTTTCTATGTGGGACGCCTTCCACAGCATGGCTTGCCAAGCGGTGTCATGTCGGCACCTGGGATCCGAACCCCGGGCCGCTGAAGCAGAAGGTGTGAACTTAACCGCTGTGCCACTGGGCCAGCCCCTGACTACTCATTTTTAAAATATTTAATATAACACAAAATACAATATGATATATAATAACGTAACATAGCGTACCATGACATACTCTACTTGCTTCAGAAGGGTTGGACGTTTTTGAAGTGTACTGGCCCAGAATTTTGTAGACTGGAGTTAGGGGTTTGGGGAAGACCACAGAGATGAGGTGCCTTCTCGTTGCGTTTCTATTATTGAGAATCAACATAACTGATCACTGGTGACGTTAACCTTGATCACTTGGTTGAGGTAGAGTTGACCAGTTTTTTCCACTGTAAAGTACTGCTTTTCTCTTTGCATATCCTGTACTTTGCATATTCTGTAGTTTGGAAGTCGGCCCTCACTTAAAGGGAGAATAATTAAGCTCTACCTCTTGGAGGGAGGGAGTATCTACATAAATTATTGATTTTGGTATGGATGCTTGGACATTTATTTTATTCTTTGGGTTATCATCCAGGGCCAGCACTATTTATTCTGTTGCTCATAAACTAGTTTTTAATTTTTTAAGTTTTATTTTGCTTACCCATCTAGTATGACGTGTAGCTTGGTGCAGAATGCATTCCCCGCCTTTTTGGCCTTGCCCTCCTCCACGTGTTTACCCTCTCATGCTTCAAACCAATAGATGTGGTTTTGCTGTGCTGGTTGGTGCTTAAGGTCATTTTTATAGCAAAGTTTTAATGTATGTGCTGTGGGAGGAGAAGTCATAATACAAAACTTCTTGTCAGCAGATTGGTGAATTTACCTGAGAAATTGAGACTCAAGAGTATGAGAATGTGTGACTAGGACCGAAAGCAGATTTTCAGGTAGGAAATCAAAATCCTTTCCTTTACCTTTTTTGACTTGATTTTGTAGACATCAGATCATCATTTTCTCGGGAGATGCAAAATCCCACAATTGGGGGATGGGTGGCATAAAGAGTGAGGTTGCATTAGGAAGTCACTTAGTGTTCCTTTTTTAGATTCTTTGATTTTTAAATGATAAGGTGATAGCTGAACTTTGAATTGAAACCCAAGAGGAACTTGCAGAAGTATATCCGTATTTGCAAAAGAATTATAGATGTGATTCCGATCGTTGAGGCTTATTTGAAAAAGTACTCATCAGAGTATAAATAATATTGAGATTTATCATGTCAGAGAAAACAGCTACTAGTTATAGGATGTTTTATGTATTTCACAGAATATTTACTAAATCTGGATTGATTTATATATATATATTTTTTGGTGAGGAATATTGGCCCTGAGCTAACATCTGTCGCCATCTTCCTCTTTTTGCTTGAGGAAGATTGTCGCTGGGCTAACATCTGTGCCAGTCTTCCTCTATTTTGCAAGTGAGACGCTGCCACAGCGTGGCTTGGTGAGTGGTGTGTTGGTCTGTGCCCAGGATCCGAACGTGCGAACCCCAGGCCACTGAAGCAGAAGCGCAAGAACTTAACCACTATGCCACCAGGCCAGCCCCAGGATTGATTTATATTTTGCATTTTTCATCAACTCCCCTAAGATGTGATAAGGTCACAAACTCTCTGTTAGGAGGGAGGGACCGTGGGAGAGGAGGCTCACAGATCATGTATGTGCTCGAGTTTCTGCATATTGATTATGCAAAAACGAGAATCAGTTTGCCAGCAGCTTCCACTGTGGTCATCCTACAAAGAGTGAGTTAAAAAGAGAGAGTTCTTGCAAGCGCCAAGACAAGCACCTGAAAATCTGAAATGCAAGTGGAGTTAATGTTCTGCACCGATTCTTACCTGTGCTGTTGGCAGTATGAAAGCAATGTGATGCCTCCTTCTAAACTACAGAGGTTTCAGCTCCATGGCAACATGAGGAGCCTATTCTGTCAGAGGGTGTATGTACACAAATGCATTCAAAGCACGAGTGAATTTGGAGGGGTGGGGACCAACCCGCCAAGTCCTGCCCACGCACTTTCGTGTGTGTGTATTAGAATAAGGCCTTTGTGCAAGGAGGCCAGAGAAGTTCATGTCAGTTGCCCTCTGGGCTTTTACAGGACCTAGCTGCCATCACCCACCTCCTTTCTGTTTCCAGAAAGGAAGCAAGGAAAGGCGATTAAAGAATGCTGCCGCGAGGAAAATGCTCTTCCTTCTTTCTCTTTTTGGAATGTCAATTTAGCTATTGCTTTTCTTCGTGTCCCCAGGGGTATTTGGCTGCTTCTGTGGGCAGCAGTACTCTCTGTCTCTCGTCTGGTGTCCTGCCTGCTCCTTAAGGCCCAGGGGTGGCACGGAGTGCGTGGTGGCTTCGCTGTTCCCGCCCACAGCTGCTGGGCCTCTGGCTCGACTCTGACACTTCGTGTTTCCTCTCTCCTCGTGCTTCACAGCCACGCGCAGCTCCGTCCTCTCTATCAGGCCTTGGCTCAGTTCTTTGCTTTGAAGAGATAACCTCCCGACTTGTCTATTTATCATATAGCCATGTTCCTGTCCTGCGTTTTCGAAATGATAGAACAATCTGAAAAATGTTTATTTTTGCTGTGCTCCAATTTAGCTGATCCAGGGGATGAATTGAATGTTCTGCTCTTTCCTAGTTAGCTCGGAGAATAGCTCTGATGAGTCTTGGACCATTTTTTGTTTTTTGGAGGAAGATTAACGGAGCTAACATCTGCCGCCAATCCTCCTCTTTTTGCTGAGGAAGAGTGGCCCTGAGCTAACATCTGTGTCCATCTCCCTCTATTTTATATGTGGGATGCCCACCACAGCATGGCTTGATAAGTGGTGCGTAGGTCCACACCCGGGATCCGAACCGGTGAACCCCGGGCAACCAAAGCAAGAATATGCGAACTTAACCGCTGCGCCACCAGGCTGGCCCCTTGGACCAGTTTTATACCACTTAAAATTTGAGGTTGAATATGGATGACTATCTACACTAGGTTCAGAGACTAAGGATCCAAAAACAGCCTCTTTGATACAGACCTCGTCCTTTTCCTTTCACTCCTCCACTAATCCCCATCCAGTGTGACAGACGGCTCTCGTGGTGGTGAGAGGAAGTTATTGACAAGAGGCCTGAAGTTCTCATGTTCCTGTGCATGCTTGCACAACAGCTAAGTGTTGTTTTCAGGTTATATTTTGGGCCACATTCATCATTTCTTCACATAAAGAAATGATCTATTGCCCCGTAGTTTCTGCTTGGAACAATTTCTTTGGATTTACTCTTATAAATAAATGATCTATGACTAAGATTATATATACGCACCTGCCATTGCTTTCATCTGTTGATTAACTTGTTCAAGGATTTTTGACTTACTGTGGTGTGCTGGCCCGAGCATGCAAAAAATGTGCGTGTGTCTGCCTCTGAAGAGCTGCTGCGCTCCAAGTTAGGAGCAGACTGTAAAACGTTGCAATACATTGTGAAATGGCTGTAAGAGAAGGATGCACAAAGCCTAGATGTGACCTGACAGGGGTGCAGTCACCTCTGCTTGAGGGGCTTGACACAGGCCTAAATCTTGAGCTGCGTCTTGCAAGACGAGTAGGAGTTTGCCTGGTGGACAGTACAAGCAAAAGCATTAGGGAGACAGAGCCCGGACATGCAAAAGCCCAAGGACATGAAAGCAGTAAGGTGTGTCTGTGAGCAATAAATCTTCACATGGCCGGATGGCAGGGTATAGGGAGAGGAGGAGCGGGGATCACAAAGGAAGGATCTGGAATGGTTGGCAGGGCCCGGGTCTGGGAGGGTATGCCAGGCTGGTATGTTGGAACTTTATCCTGTAGGCAGTGAGGAGAGACATGTTCAAATCTGTGCTTTACACAGAATCTCAGGCAGCGTCATGAGAGTGAATCAGAGGGACCCGGGCCTGGAAGGGAGGCATGGTTTGCAGATAGTTACAATCATCTTCAGAAGAAAAAAACAGAGGCCTGAACTGATGCTGTGATATTCAGAATGGCGAGCACAGGATGGACTGTCATGCTGGGGAAACAGTACTAGTGACTGAGTCGGTGTAAAGGCTGAGGGAAGAGAAGGCAGTTCTCGGGACTCCAGCTGGATGACAAGGTGAATAGTGATGACGTTGCCCAGGATGAGAAATACAGGAAGATGAGCAGGCCTTAAACAATGACTTAGATTTTAGATTTTTTGTATCTACGGTCATGTGTGGTTTATGGAAAGCTGTGATATTGCGATAAGAAAGACCTGAGTTTCAATTTTGCTTCTCCACTTCATCACCTGTGTATTTTTAGGTAAGTTACTGGACCTCTGGGACTTTCCTGGTCTGTGAAGTGGGGCTGGCAGTTACTAGCCTGCAGGCCATTGGTGAGGGCTGAAGAGAGAATCTGTGTAAAGCTCCTGACTCGAAGCCAGTTCTCAAGTCAGGGCGGGTTATTATCCCCGCCGTGTTCTGCAGGCGGAGCTTGAGGTCTGGAGCCCCACAGAGAGGCTGAAAATGCCGACTTTGGAGTCACGTGAAAATAAGAGAACAAAATTTATCAGAGGGGCTGAGGTGTCTGCTCATTTGTTTGTCCAGAATCATTGCTTGAGAGTCGGCATGTGCCCAGTTCTGTGCAAAAACTAGGGAAGGCAAGATGAAAAAGATTTTGTTTCTGGCCTCAGGGATCTTAGAGTCAATAAGGGTGACACAAAGAGGGAAATCAAGAGTGTTTTGAATAAGAAGAGGATTGGGGCAAATTAAGATATCCAGATTTTAAAAATTGTATAATATAGCATATATTTAGAAAGGACATATACAATTTGATGCATTTCCACCAACCAAAGAGCAGATCAAAAAACAGAACCTTATCAGCATTTGAAGAGCACGTCTCCTGCCCTTTTCCAGTCACAACAGAGCCCAAGGGTAGCTGTAATCTAACTTTTCACACCATGTAGGTTATACGTATTATTGTACTTTATATGTGTGGAATCGTATGCTATGTTCTCTTTGTTGTGTCTGGTTGTTTGTTCTGACTCGGATCTTTGTTATCCCAAAAGCAGTGCTCTTTCCACAGACTACACATGACCACAGATACCAAAAATCTAAAATCTAAGTCATTGCTTTTCTCAAAGGCCCGCTCATCTCCCTGGATTTCTCATAACGTACCAATATGTTAGTGAGCATCATTCACATTTCTGCCTGTGACAACTGTTCATTCTCGTTGGGTAGAATTCCATTGTATGAATATACTACGGTTTATTCATTCTTCCACTGATTGACTTGGGTTTTGTTTTTGGCTGTTACCAATAATGCCTCTCTGGGTGTGACAGGACACGCCTGTGGGGTGGAGTTACTGGATCAGAGGCTGGTGTATATTCATACTTCCTCCAACAATGCGTGAAGGTCCTAACTGGCCCTCTCTGCTCTGGCATTTTCATCTTTCTCGTTTTGGCCATTCTGTTGATTATTTAGTGGTGTAACCTCGTAGTTTTAATTTTCATTTCCCTGATGATTAATGAAGTTGAGCCCCTTTTGTTTTTGACTGTTGGATACTCTTTTATAAAGTGCCTGTTGAAGTGTTATGTCCACTTTTAGACTGGGCTTTCTGCCCTTTTGCAGCATCAATATTAAACAGTGAAAATGAATTATTGAGGGCCCACCAAGAACCACTCTAGCACTGGAATCAGAGAAAAGAACGATATAGTCCTACTTTTCGTCCTCGTGTAGTTTGTGGCCTTGACCACTCTTTCCAAAAGCTTGGCTGTGCAGAGGAGGACTGAGATGATAGACAGAGGAAGACGTGGGGCCCAGAGAGCACTTTTATGTAGACGTGAACCTAAGTGTGTGTGCTAACAGCAGAGCCACTGGACAGGGAAAGGGAGACGATAGAAGGAAGGGTGATCCTTGACGGAGCAGAATCCAAGAGTGGCCAGTGCTCTGA